TGGGCAGTCCAGAACATGTGTGCTTCACCAAAAGTATAAGAAACACATTTATGAGTGGAGCAACAGCATCCCTGAAGGTCTCTGTCATTGCTTTTCTCTGCATGCCAGTCTTTACTGTGGGAGCTGGGGTCAATCAATGGAAGACTACAATGTGATGGGTATGATTGAATCTCAGGTAGAAAGAGGACAAGTGGCCTCATTGGTGACAAAGTGCCCCTTTGGTGACAAAGATGGGGTGGTCATATTTAGCATAATGGACAGCAAAGAGTAAGAAATGAACACAATGGCCTGACTCTTGTGAATCTCTGGTGTTGGTTAATTAAGCATGGTGTTTCTAGAAGCCACATAAATGGGAAACCCACCAAATTCTTACTTGACTTATATTAACAGAAAATTTCCAGGTAAAATTGTACAAAAGTCTGCCCCAAATCAACACCAGAGAATCACAGCCACTTAACCACTTCCCAATTTTGGGTCAATTTACAGATCCAGAACCTGTTGAATGAAGGTGAGGCCAGGTCCCCTTGAGTGAGGACCTTGGTACAATATCAAAAATCTTTACTGTTAATCTTTCTCCCATCCTTCCCTAAAAGGACCTAAGTCCTTTTACCAGGGTAACTATACATTGGGGAAAAGGCAATGATCAGACTTTTGGGACAACTAGACACAGGCTTTGAAGTGATATTGATTCTAGGAGATCCAAAACGTCATTATACCCTTCCACTACATGTAAGGGCTTATGGAGGTCAGATGATCAGTGAAGTTTTGGCCAAGGTCCAACTCACAGTGGGTCCAGTGGGCCCCCCCCAATATATCCTGTGGTTATTTCTAAGTCTCAAAACATATAATCAGGATAGATAGACTTCGCACTTGGAAAAACTCACACATTGGTTCTCTAATCTGTGGAGTGAGGGCTATTATGGTGGGAAAGTCTAAAGTGAAACCTCTGAAATTGCCTATACCTGGAAAAATAGTGAATCAACAGCAATAGAGCATCCCTGGAGGATTGTAGAGATTTATGCCAACATCAAGGACTTGAAGGATGCAGGGGTGGTGATTCCCATGACAGCCCCATTTAACTCTCCTATCTGGTCTGAGCAGAAGATAGATGGTTCTCGGAGAATGGAAGTTTATTATCATACGATTATTCAGGTGGTGACTCCTGGTACTTGGTATGTGGCTATTGATTTGGAAAATGCTTTTTTTCCTATCCAGAAACAATTTGCTCTCAGCTGACAAGGCCAGCAGTGTATGTTCATTGTCCTTCCTCAGAGGTACAAAAACTTTCCAGGTCTGTGTCACAGCTTAGTTTGTAGAGATCTTGATCATCTGTCTCTTCCCTAAGGTATTACACTTGTCCATTATGTCAATGACACTAACTCCAGTCTTTTTCAAAATTTTCCAAGATATTGTAAGAATGGGAACACTCCCAATTACATTCTATGAATCCAGTATAACGCTGATACCAAAACCAAACACATCAAGAAAAGAAAACTATAGAACAATGTCACTGATGAACACAGATGCAACATTTCTTAACATTTGTTTTAGCAAATCACATTTAAAAATACATTAAGAAGGTAATGCAGCAGAATCTCCTAGATTTTATCCCAGGGATGCATGGTTGGTTGAACAAATATAAATTAGTAAATGCAATAAACAACATAAATACAATAAACATATTTAAGAACAGGAATCACATGAGCATCTCAATACATGTGGAATAATATCTTCGATAAAATTCAGCACTCCTTCATGTTAAAAATATTGGATAAAATAGGGATTAAAAAGAACTTATTTCAACATTATAAATGGAGAAAAACTGAAAACATTTTCTCTAAAATCAGGAACAAAACATGGATATATACTCTCACCACAGGAAAAAAAAGAAAATTAATTGGATACAGATAGGAAAAGAACTAGTCAAACTATCTCTACTTGGTGATAACATGATTCTAAATTTATAAGACTCCAAAAATTCCACCAGAAGATTTCTAGAGATGATAAATAACTTTAGCAAAATACTAAGATAAAAGATAAAATCAATAGCCTTCCTACACTCCAAAAATAAATTTGCTGAGAAAAAAATCAATAAAACTATCACAACAACCTCAAAAAAATTTTAGAAAATGACAATATAACCAAGAGAATGTAATTCTCTACAATGAAAACTATAGAACACTGAAGAAAGAAATTGAAGAAACAAGTTGAAGAAATTTAGAAGATGGAAAGACCTCCCAGTTCTTTGATAGGAAGACTTAATATTGTCAAAAGTATCACAGTACCTAGAGAACTG